AAACACTCTGTATGAAAATACCTACCATGAACACTATCACCAGCACCAAACATCAGTCGAACTGACAAGAATTCATTATTTAGCCCTGGCCGGTTTGTTTCTGCGGATAAAGCGATGGCCTGTGGACTCAACGGTCCCAGGTTCGATTCTGGTCAAGGGCATGTGCCTTGGTTGTGGGCACATCCCCAGTAGGTGGTGTGCAAGAGGCAGCTGATCGATGTTTCTAACTTTCTATCCCTCTCCCTTTCTGTCTGTAAAAAATCAATAAAATATATATATTTTAAAATGCTTACCGAATACTTGAGTCATGTGATATAATCAATGTTTCAAATTTCATAATATCTTCCATCATTTTCTGAGATTCCTTAATAGAAGCTTCTATCCTATCTGTAATATGAGATCAGAGACAGAAATGTTTAGGCGAATGGAACCAGTGAAATGACAGCAAAAGAACTTTACAAATTATCTTCTCAGTCAGTGGTATTTAGTTCCTCACCTGACTTCGGTAGGCCGTCAGTGCTATAGAAGCTTTGGATTTCTCTGATCAGTTTTTTGGCTTCTGATGTGTTGTTTTTGATATTACGTAAGGTTTCCTCCACAGACTGTAGATCCTGGTCTACTTCGGTTTGGTAATTAAGCAAGAAATCTGCAATGCCACATGTAGTCGGGCAGTAACGACCCTGAAAATACAACAACAGAGTGATTTAAAATCTTGATGAAAGCCACACTTAACAATCTATGTATAAAAATAGGTAAAAGCTAGACTATGTTAAAAAAAAAAAAACACAGAGTTTAAAATGCCAAATGTTTGTAAGAGAATTCCTTTTATTTCTCTGCCTCTCTGCAATCTACATACAGCAGAAACAAACAAACAAACAAGCCATAAAAATTACTTACAAATCTTTTATCTGAGATGCAGCAGTTGTCTGTGGGGGGAACAAGCTAGAAGAGAAAAATACAGGAATGTCACTAGTTTATCATGTATTTTCTTACTTTTCAGCTTTCCATGTCAAACAAGTATGTCTGTGGAGAAGCATACTTACTGCTAGGCATGTTGAAGAGAGGAATAAAAGAGTGTAGAAGTAGAGAATTAAACTCCGGGGGTGCAAGGACCAACGCATGATGTCTGGGAGCCCTGTATCAGCACTGTGGCCTCTCGGGCTTCCACCGTCCCTTTATGTAAACTCTGAGGGTGACCAGGTCTGCCTGCCAGTGGCTGAAGCTGATCACGGGATCTTCTTACCGGGAGGTGGGGGAAGTCTTTCCCGTCTCTTTTCCCCCCTCATCCTGGCCCCCAACCTATGTTCAATCAGGTTCCCAGATTTTACACACAGTTTAAGCTCCTCCTTTTGGCCCAGCTCAGCCTTTCTCCTCTGCAGCCAATTCATCTGCAAAGGCTAGTGAAGCATTAGCCATTGCTAAGAGGAGGGAGGGACGCCTGGGAGGTTGCATGATGCAACCTCTTCCAGTATTTGGCAGAGAGCAAACACCGAGAGCTGGCCTCCAGCAGAACAAACCCAGCCAGTTGACCTCCATCAGAACAACCCAGCCCAACCTTAAGATGGAGCCCATATTCCAACTCACTGAAAGCTCTTTCTGAGCCCATGGATTAGGACACATAATTATTTTTAACCTGTGGCTATGGCAGGAGGAGACTTTGCTTTCTACCGGGTCCCAATGTGTTAGTATTCCCCGAAACAAGTGACACTGGAAATATACTCCTCCCTGCTCTGTGTTGGCCGTTTTCTTTCTTTTTAATTGAGATGTAATTGACATATCCTATCTAATAATAGCCAAACATGGTAATTGACTGTACCTTTGTTACACCTCCCATTGGCTAGTTAACAAGATATGCAAATTAACCGCCAACACAGATGGTGGCTAATTTGCATACTGCAGGGAGGGACAGCGTGAGCCACCAGCTCGAGCCACCATCCAGGCTCCCGTGGGCAACACAAGGAGCCTCCTGCCTGTGGCCTGGGACCCCATCTGGTTCCGGGCCGCAGGCACGCTGGCCCTGCAAGCCCCAGGAGCTGCTTGCCTGCTGCCTGGGATTGGATCGGTCCTAGGCTGCTGGCAGGCCCCAAAGCCCCAGAAGCCACCAGATATGGAAGTAACTCTATCAGTAAGCACTCTGAAAGTCAGTGGCATAAATGCACCAATTAAAAGACAGATTATGAGGGTGAATCAAAAACAAAACTCACTTTAAATAAAAAGACACATATAGATTAAAAGTAAATGAATTAAGCTGCAGCCTGTTTTGCTCAGTGGATAGAGCATAACCCGTGGA